ATGTACCTTTCTGGCCTGTTTGAGGATCCGGACTTTGTCTTTAAGCATCCCTGGGCAGGCTAGCCCCAGCTGCCTTTTCTCGTGGCGAAACAGAGCGCAGCGGGCATGAAAAACCCTGCAAGGGCCTAGGTTTTGAAAGAAAATGCAAAGTCGGGTTTTGCAGGGTTTGTGGTGTTTTACAACATCTTGGACATCAGATCTTGTTTTGAGGGATACGCATGCTTGCTACGGATTTTCCGCCTTTGGCTGTCGAGCTCAAACCCATGGTTTTCAATAGCCATGGAAAAAGGGTCCAGATTTTCTTGAATGTACCTTTATGGCCCGTTTGAGGATCCGGACTTTGTCTTTAAGCATCCCCGGGCAGGCTAGCCCCAGCTGCCTTTTCTCGTGGCGAATCAGAGCGCAGCGGGCATGAAAAACACTGCAGGGGCCTGGGTTTTGAAAGAAAATGCAAAGTCGGGTTTTGCCGCTTCTGTGGTGTTTTACAAAATCTTGCACATCAGATCTCGTTTTGAGGGATACGCATACTTTCTACGGATTTTCCGCCTCTGGCTTTCGAGGGCTAGAAAAAAGCTGCGTCCCCAACGATCCTCCATCGTGAACTCATCTTGTAGAAACATTCCAGCTCCTTAGCACCACCAGCCTTAGTGAGAGAACTGGCCAATTGAGCCTCGCTGTGCACCCACCTCAGTATGACTTGTACACGTTCCTGTGCTTCTTTCAATCCTATCAGCTCGATGTTGCTGCGTTTCTCGGCCGCTTTGATGGAGGATACCTCAGTAGCCAAGCGATCGTATACGTTTCTGGAATCAGTAATTACACATCCAGGGATTCTCCGAACCAGGGTGTCCGGATCTCGGATGTTGTCACATCCAAAATGCATGTCAGCCATCTGGAATCGAGCGTAATACAAGGCATCCTCGCCGTTTACGGCGGTTAAGGCTTCAGCAGCACCAGGACTCCGGCAGGTGCGGTCTATTCTGTTGCTGTGCCAGCTAATTAAGGTGATAGCCCCAACTTCTCCCCTCAAGAGTCCCCGAAGTCCTATGCCCACAATGATCCATTGAGTGCTTCCCCCATCTGGCCGATTCTGGCTTCCAGCGTCGACCCAGGAGTACAGGCACAGCTCCTCGGTTGGCGGAAACCGATGCACCTGTATCTTGTAATTCTTCCTGGCGCGTGTGTGTTGCACCAGAAGATTCGTCCTGACGATCGTGTCTACAGTACTCCGACTCACTTCTGACCTCTGAAAGGAGTAATCCCACTTCCGCGGAAATGTGTGGGTGGCACGCAAGGATGATTTTTCTGGCTCTGTTGTCGGAGCTTTACTGGCTTTTCGCCGGCTAGAGCCGGCTATATGAGCGTGATCTTCATTCACGGCCAGCCTTCTGTATGTCATTTCGGGGGATCGTCACTGACGTAGATGAGTGTCACATCGTTACTAATTGGGATGAACGGCTCATGTTCGAAACATTTCAAAGTTGCGGCGGCTAATTTTCTATCCTTTCCAATCGCGCCATCTTCCGGGTGAGCAGTGCCGGAGGCACAACTCATGGGGGGTGCGAACGGACCTCGATGCCTAGTCCAATTCTATGCTGTTTCTATCAGAGCTGTGCGCAGTAATTACCATGACACGTCATGTACAGACGGGCAGGGTATCGCTTTGCGAACCCTGACCCAACGCACTAGCCCATGGACCTGTTTGTCGGACCATGGTGCAGTGTGAGTACTTCATACGCCGCCTACACAACTTTGGCTCAAGAAACTAATGCCACAAGCTAACAAAAGCTTGTAGCCTTTCGTGTGTACCCGAGAGGAACAGAGCCATCCCGTGCATAGACGACTCGTCGCGCCCCTCGAACGAGAAAACCAGCGATCACCGAGTCTGCTTGCCAAGGATTAGGATCTGCAGTGTGGAGAGCGTGGGGTACACTTGTCCGTCTGTTAAGTGGGCAACCAGTGATTCATTAGCTCGGCGGAGTGAACGAACAAGGTTAACATCAAGAACAAATCCCCACGCATATAATACAGTGTTTTTAATATATATATATATATATATATATATATATATATATATGCACGTATATATATATATATATATATATATATATATGTATGTATGTATGTATGTATGTATGGTCCCCCGCCCCCACGTACCTACCCTTTTGTATGCTTTCCTGCTCAGCTCCCCTACACAGTCCCAATCGTGCTCCCCTACACCGTCTCCAAATTATGCGGTCGTGCTCCCGTACACAATCCCAAAACATTGGGACCACTTATGGTTTTCGCATCCTACAGTAGAGGCTCAAAACCATGAGAGGTCCCAATGTTTTGGGCCCGTATAGCAGAAAACATTGGGACCTCTCAGCACTTTCGCACTCCACAGTCCCAAAAGCATGAAAGGTTCCAATGTATTGAGGGTTTAGAGCCCAAAACCTTGTAAGGTCCAAATAGAACCAATAAAACCAATGTTTTAGGCGTCTCTGGGGAGCGCGAGCCTGAAGACGCCTAAAGCATTGGTTTTATTGGCTTTATTGGGACCTTCCATGGTTTTATGCTCCTACATCTTCAAAACATTGGGACATCTCACGGTTTTCGCATCCCAGAAACTCAAAACCATGAGAGGTCCCAATGTTTTGGACCCGTAGGGCACAAAACATTGGTAATTACCTCTCAGCACTTTCGCATTCCAGAGTCCCAAAAGCATGAAAGGTCCCAATGTTTGAGGGTTTAGAGCCCAAAACCCTGTAGAGTCCCAACAAAACCAATAAAACCTATGTTCTAAGGGGTCTCTGGGGAGCGCGAGCCTGGGAACGCCTAAAACATTGGTTTTATTGGTTTTATTGGGACCTTCCATGGTTTTATGCTCCTACAGCTTCAAAACATTGGGACCTCTCATGGTTTTCGCATCCCAGAAGTTCAAAACCATGAGAGGTCCCAATGTTTCGGGCATGTGGGAGCCCAAAACATTGGGACATCTCATGGTTTTCGCATCCCAGAGTCACCAAAGCATGAGAGGTCCCAATGTTTCGGGCCCGTAGAGACCAAAATGCAGACCACCAGGAGGAATTAGAAAGTAGAACCACCGTTTTGGGACCCTATACTACTAAGGGTACTTGATAAGAACGGTGGTCTGGGCAGGTATACTGGTATATGGGTACACTGGTATACGAAAGTATACAAATACAAGAACATACTACTACATGACGATACATATTTAAATGCTAATACTACTATCAAAACCAAGGCTATAAGACGCATGCCAATACGAATACTAACACGATCATTAACAGCAGTCTTAGCACGACTGATACTGACAGTGCCACAGACACCAACATTAACACTCACATTAGCGAACACGAACACTCATATTAAGACTAATGCTCGTGTTAACATTAGTGCTTATACTAATACTGAGTCAAAACTGATACTAACACTACAACGGTAACACGAGTACAGACACAAAGACTACTACTCATGATGATAATTATACTAAGGTTAAACCCAGAACAGGTCTAAGTCAAGACTCAGACTAACACTATTACACAGGCTGGGACTAAGAATAAGACTATATGATCAAGGTTACAACACGACTAAGACTGAAAAACACAACTATATTCAACCTCGCAGAATAGCAAACAAAACATATTCGCAGAGGGGTGTATGAGTATATTAGTATGGTGGCACATACGTGTACTAGTATATTCCCAGACGACCAGGAGGATCTAGAAAGTAACACCATTATCAATAGCAATATTAGTACAAATAGGAACACTGATACGGACACTGCCACAGACACCAACACTAACATTCACAGTCACACTAACGAACACGAATACTAACATTAGACTAATACTAGTATTAGCATTAGTACTTGTACTAATACTGACTCAAAACTAATTCTAACACTACAATACTAACACTAGTACAAACATAAAGACTACTACTCATGATGATAGTTATACTATTGTTAAACCCAGAACAGGTTTAAAACAAGACTCAGACTAACAATATTACACAGGCTGGGACTAAGAATAAGACTAAGGTTAGGATTACAACACGACTAAGACTAGACAACACAAATATTTTCAACCAAACTTGCATGTATGTTCTGTGTGCGCCTGCCCAAGCAGATTTTACACGCAGAAGTATGGGCGTTGAGAGTAACACGCAATCAAGAGGAGAGCGGAGATACGTAATATAAATGTCTTGATGCTTGTAGACATAAAGAACTTGACGGAAGACGTGTCGAGATAGTAAATGTACCCACGAACACGAAATCTACCGACATTTACATGGCTTCCGGCTTCCACGTGCAACAGCACAGCGACACAATTGATCACTCATATGGTCACTAACCCCATGTCTTCTTAGACTTCACTTGGGGTTGGACAAGAACTTGCTTTATGAAAGCCATGAAAGTGTAGGTACGTCGGGGGGGGGGGGGTAGCATATAATATATATATAATTATATATATAGATATATAGATATATAGATATAGAGATATATAGGTATAGATATATAGATATATAATATATATATATAGATATATATTAAAATACATATATGTATATGTAGATATATATATATATAGAGAGAGAGAGAGAGGCACATAGATAGAAGGCAGTGATTTCTGGCTTTCCAGACTGTCATAAAGGTGTCTTGTATGTACACCGCGTTCAGTATGTGCATATGTTTACATATGCAAGGGCATCGAGAATATGCAAACTGCAGAGCATGTCTGGGGAATTCGAAGATCAATCGACCCCGGTTTGTTTGGAGTTTGGTTTTGTCAACATCATAGCAATACATCGGGGGGGTGGCTCAACACATATGTAGACATGTACACGAATGTATGTAGATAGTTTATGAGCATCTTTGTAATTGTTCCATGTGTTTGTAACATTGTGTTATGTACCAGAAGGTTGTTGTCGACGCAGAGCTTCAGAATTATGTTTCAAGGAAACTGGTACTCGCCGTTTGCGAGCCGGTTGGTCGAATGGAGAAGAGTCTTCGTGCGCAATTGGCGTGAGTTTCTTGTTGCGGTCTGGTGGCGTAAACCTTACTTGGGTTGACTCCCACTACTCGGGCTTCAGGATTTTCATGATGGGAAAATATTGCTATGATGATCTCTCTGCGGCTCAGAAGCGTCTCGTGGCCTGGCCTTACCGCACCGGCAGTGAAGTCTGTGGCTCGGCTCCGTTTGCTATGAACTCGGGATACTGCAAGCCTGTTCTGAGAATGAGCCCTTTTGATGCACACGTTCCGAGAGCAGCGTTCTTGATGCATACACATGGTTGATGAGTCGCAGAAGTGGGCGGAAGTGAGTTTGGTGGCATGTGTGTGGCAGCTGGAGCGAGGTTTCCCAAGCACTTCGGCACTGCTGACGGAAAGGCATGGCCAGCTGTGCCTTTGGCATGCTTCGTAAATTTCCAGCAGAGGCTTCGGCAAAGTTGCACCCTAAACGGCAAAGCACGCATTTCCGTAGTACAAGCAGCAATGGTGTTGCTAAAGCGACAGAACAGTTTGAGCAGACATCGATCGCAGTACAGCCATGTACCTCCTGCACTTCGTGTTCTTCTGCGAGAGCGGGCATTGAAGCTGCTTGAAACGATACTACAAGATTTCCAATCTCTTGAGCCTCAATGCCAGGAAGTCATTTTGGGATCAGCGGATCGACACAGCACAGCATTTGGCAGCTTTGGAGGAGCTGTTTCCCAGTCGACTTTTTGTGTTGTGCCTGGGCAAGCTACGTTTGGTCAGCACCAAGTGTGCGGGGTGCTCATCTTAGTCAAAGCAATTCAACCGGATCGGAGAAGAACAACTGTCGTGAGGCTGCAATAAGGGGAGAAATGACGACTGCAATACCTAGATTGGGCAAAGAAAAGAAAGCAGGGAAGCAGTCAGTAAAGAAGCAAGGGCATAACGAACAAACGGAAAATCAACATGAGCAGAAAATGATACAAGCAACACATGAAACCTGAAACTTCGAGAGACAAGAATGAAAACAGTAGATGGCGAGCGAACGAGCTAAAGAAAGAAGGCTGGCACGAATTCAGCACAAGAGGAAATAAGTAAGAGCAATCCGCAGAAACTACAGAAACAAACGACACGTACACTCGACAACAAGAGTCTGCAATAACGCAAGGAAGAAGCGGTGTAAGTAAGGAAGGAAAGATGGCAACACCAGTTTTTACAACAACAATGACTATTGATGTAAACGCCTGGTGGTGGTTTGTTAGCATTCTTGAATAGCGTCGTGGCACCATGTGGCAGCAGATAGATTTGCCAGGTGTTTTTAATGCCTGGTGACTAGGGAATCAGTTTTCTTGACTTTCTGCAGACGATTTTCGATTTGGTGGAGATTGCGGCAGAACTTTTGGTTCTTGCCATCTTCGGGCTGAGACTCTCTCGGTGGATACAGAGCAGCGAGGCACCAAAGCGAGCTGCGCGACACACCGGGCAACATCTTCGATGAACTGGCGGCCTTTTTTGGGCTTCGTCCTTTCCCCGGCAAGATGATGTTCAGGCAGATCTTCAATGGGTTGGTTATGCACGTTAGCGTCTTTGATGTTTCGCCCTGTTTCGTTCTTCAGTAACAGGAGGCAAGCCTCGTGTTACGCACGTCGAAGTGCAATTCCCGTCGAACCCCGGTTGAACCCCAAGTTCAGATAGGGCCGCAATAACTCGTCAGCTCTTTCTGCAGCCATGAGATCCCTCTGCAGGCGCCACAACTCCGTGGGGGGGCACCGAACGGATCTTTGCTTCAATGCATCACTTGTGCGATCCTAGGATGCAGTCATGATTTTCATTTAACAGGTGTGCGGTATGACACGCTGGAAATATCCCTAGACTCTGCAGAAGATCAACTTCACACATGGACCATAAGTTTCATGTAT